TGTCTCAAAAAAAAAAAAAAAAAAAGACACTTCTAAGGTGAAAGCCGCTGAATATTCTAAAATGGAAGGAAGTGTTTACATAAAGGTCTTTCATTGAATGATTACTCTAAGTCAGATTTTATACTTTCAATCTACTATTGTTTATATATTTATTTAATCCTTTTAAAAACTCAATGAGATAGGTACTAATATTATTCTTCGCCATTTCACAAAGGAGGCAAGAAAGATTCAGTAATTTATCTAACTTTGCACAGCAATTAAGTGGCAAAGCCACCAAGATTTGAACCCGGCAGTCTGGCTTGGAGCACATGCTCCTGACCTCTGCAGTGTGCGGGTGGAGCCCAACCTGGTGGACCATTTGGCCGTATTCAGCTGGTAGTGCTAACCCATTTTCTTCCCTACCACCCACACTCACATCATTCTACTTACCAGGTGACAGGTTGTCATGAAACCATTTCATCTCCACATATAGAGTGAAAACAAATGGGTAGGGGATCAAGGCGATTTCCCCATGTTTGAATTTCAGGTGAGAAACTCTCTCCCATTTGCTTTTATCTGGGAAATGGTGCTAAGGTGCTAAGGAGGAAGGATGCCAGTATGCATCTCTGAGTACTATATTAGGTATAAGACTCCCTCTCCCTTCCCTGAGCTACCCTCCAAACTGCCTATGGTTTTGCTGCTTCCATTTGAATCTACAATGTGTGTTGTAGCTCATTTCCAGCCAGGAAAGAAAGGATACAGGGAAATACAATGAAGTGTTCTGTAGCAAATGGCTGCAGATTATCCAAGTTTCCCAAGACCACACGGATAGAATCCTGAAAAGAATATTTGAAATGACTTTAATACTGTCGAGTCTCAGCCAACCTTTCCGTTTATATTTGTCACTGCTCATCACATACTCTTATGTTCTATCAAAATTGAACTATTTGCTGTTGCCTGAACGTGCCTTCTGCTTCTCTATTTCTGTGCTTTTGCATAATCTGTTCCCTCTTCCCGAAATGCCCTTTATATCCATCAGCACATGTCCAAATCCTACCTGTCCTTTAAGGTACAATTCAAAAGCATCTCCTGCAGAAAGCTTTCCCTGACTTACCAAGTTGTAATTAACTGTCAGCCTCAAACTTCACAGTAGCTAGCCTTGAACCTTTACTACATTTCACATATGTTTTATATTCCTTACTGGGAGACCTACCTGAAGTAGAATATACACCTGACTTATATTAGCATCCTTTCTATGGTGTCTACCACAGAGGACGATGGGTAACAAGTCCTCAATAAATGTATATTGAATGAATGAATAATGCTGGTAATTACTGATATACAGTTATTTTGCTTAAGTCAAATCTTTTCTTCTCTTTAAATCTTAATTTATAGTCCCTAATTAACATATGCTTTTTAGTCTATACTAATTAAACAATTTGGTATCATAAAGAATACTGGATTTCTATAGGAGAAAATATGAATTTCAGTCCTAGCTCATTTCACCTTTCTCAGACTCATTTTCCTCATGTTTGGGCTCACAGAAGACAAAAACTGTCTTGTTTATCTTTGTATTCTCTGTACTACCATAGTGTCTAGCTTATAAGTATAATAGCCAATATTTATTAATAACTATGGCAAGTGTTATTGTTTTAATACATACTAATTACTTTAAAACTCACAAAAACCCTATGAGATAGGCACTTCTGTTATTCCCATTTTACAGACGAGGAAACAGACAAAGAGGTGAAAAAACTTATTTGAGGTTACACAGCTAGAGCCAAGATCTGAATCCAGGCAGTGGGGTTCCAGAGTTCACATTTT